TGGCGGGGACAGCTCGGCAGAGGGGCAGGGAGGGTTGGAGGATTCTTTTGTTTCTGGTGTCAGGCTCTGTGACAGTTGGTGTCACCTCCCAGAGATTGCTGAGTCTCGGAGGGGCTCCAGCCCACACCCCGTCAGGGACAGAGCCCCCGAGCGGGAGCCGCAGTGCTGCGGGGTCCCTGCTCCCCCAGCCTCCGCTGAGTTGTCCTTAGCTGCTGGCAGGAAGTGGGGTGGCTGGCTCTGATGCTGGGAGGAGGAGGCACTGATGCAGCCTGGGGTGCCCTGGGCCATTCCTGGTGACACTGGAGCAGGTCAAGAGGGGAGGTTGAGGTTACCTGGGTGTCACGCCCCTGACGGAGGTGAGCGAATGCCGGCTCCACGCCCACCCGCACGGTGCCCTGGGGTCCAATCAGCCAGCTCCTACGTGATTTTCTGGAGAGACATGGAACAGTGGGACCCGTCTGTGAGTCCCGGGCGGAGCAGCTGTGGACCTGCACACCGGAGGGCTGAGCTCCTTCCTTTCCGGCGCCCCTAGGACCCAGGGGCAGGTAAGGATCCTTGGTGGCAAAACATGAAAAATAACTCATTTTTCCAGATCTTCAAACTCCCGTTTCCTTTGTCTTCGAGCACCCATTGGCCTTGCTCTGCAGAGAGCTGGGGCACAGCTAGCACGCGGCAGGCACCACTCGGCTGTCCACAGCGTCCTCGAGTTCTTCCAGGGACCGAAGCCCAAAGTCCTGGCCGTCCTCGTGCAGGCAGAGTCCTTCACCAAGCGCTTCTGCCTTCAGCCCTGTCAGTGTCCAGTCACACTCCCTATCATCACTCCATCGGAGCGGATGATGAGCAAGCAAACTCATTGCCCAAATCCTGGAGGTCGGGGCCCAGTGCAGCCACAGCCCCGCCGGGCGCACTCAGCTGGCTTCTCACCGTGTCCGAGTGCGGGTGGGGAGGAGCCTCACTGGGCAGACTTCATAGGGGCTCCACCCTCGAGACCGTCCCACAGGCTGTGGGTTAGGCCTCAGACCATGAACTGTAGAGGAGGCCAGGGGTTCACTGTCTCAGGAGCGACAGATGCCAACATCAGCATCAACATGGTCTTCTGCTGTGCCCCGGCATCGTTAGCTACTGAGCACCTTTGCTTTACCTGAAAATTATTTACTGTATCCTTTCCGTGGATGCTGGACTCACGCCCTAACTCTGCGCCAGCTGTGGACGAAGAGTGCTGGGAGCTGGGTAATCACGGCTTGCTCACTGGCAGTGGACTTGGCTTTGCTTTCTGAGAATTCCAAAGCGGAAGTGAAGGACCGAGTACATCTTGTGTTCCTGAGATCATTCCACAGCACAGTCAGCATTTCATACTGAATGTGCTCGGGTTCACCCCAGAGTCAGGGTTTTGGGCAAGGATGGGCAAGAAGTGCATGTGTGTGGAGCCAAACCCAAAGCCAAGCTAAGCAGCCAGTCCTCAGCCGTTTTATCTCATAGCCCCACGACGGGAATGATTTGGCGTCTCTGCATTTGAATTCTGCTGCTTTCCCAGCGGGGCTTTGGAACGTACACGGAGCAGAGCTTGGTCCTGCAGGGTGCTAGGAGGGGTGGGTGTCGCACAGGTGGCACTGTCGCTGGTGACTGCTAAGACCCACAGGTTCTGGGGAGCAGCCCTGGACACTGGTCCGGCGGTGGGTAATTACACCCAGAAATCTGCTAATGCTGCACCTTAGTTCGTGTTTGCAATTTTCTTTTTTCCCATTTTTGTCGCAATGAGAACAATGTGGCCTTCGAGGGTGAAGGCCTGTGCTTTGTGCTGAGGAGGGAGCAGGGTCAGATGCTGAGAAGGGAGGACTCGGAGGGGTGACTTGCAGAGAGAGATGTGTTTGGAGCAGCTACGAAAACCTAGGAAGGAGCAAAGACCAGGCACATTGGAGAAGATCTATTTGGAAAAAAAACACTAAAATTGTGAGTCGCCCTGCGAGGGTGGGAAGTTAATTTCACATGAAATTGAGATGTTTGGGCTAGGAAGTGAAAACGAAAAAAAAAAAAAAAAACGGGTGACTCTGGCTGATGGGCTCACTGCGCCATGTAGCGGGATCGTCGAGTTTGCCCTGCCAGGACATCTGCGGCCCAGAGGTTGAATTCTCTTGTAGTTTCATTCTGCATAATTGCACTGTCTGATGTGTCAGTCAAGTGTTTTTAAAAGTCACACTGACACACTTCATCTGCAGAATGGCTAACAGTTTACAAAGTGCTTCTGCTATGCATTATCTCTTTTGATCTCACACTCTGTTAGTCTCTAGTTGGAGTGTGATTGCGTTTTGGTGAAGCTACTAGACCTCTTGCTACCCATTTTGAAAGAAGATGTATAAATGCAAATTTAAAGTTATGTCTGATTGCTCTGAAATAAACAGAATGAAGCCGAAGGAAAATACCAGCCCAAAGGGCTGAAGACTCATGACTAAATGGGACTACTTAAGAAATGGGTGGATGAGAAAAATAAGACATGTAGGTTTGATAAGCAGCAGGGCAATGGAAAGTGCTTGTAAATCAGTGGCAAAATGAACTACGAATGTGTGCCTCTTCTGAGCAAAACAAATCTCAGTTGAATTATTTTTTCTTCAGAACGAAAATGTAAAAAGCAGAAAAATTTAAAAGCTAAACATCTTTTGGAGAAATGACAGACAAAAGGCTTAAACCTAAATTGCTATTAACGTGCTCCTCCTAAATTGGCAATTTCAGTTTTGGAGTCTGTTCGTGTTGCTGCTGTCCTCCAACGGCGGGAGGCGAGGGGAAAGATCGAAGCGTTAATTGCCAAGCTGTCCTAATTATTTTTAAAGGATTCAAGAGACAGCCATTTAACTGTCTGAGGTTTGATTCCCTTGCAGAAAAAACTCTTGACTTTCCAACTTTGAATTTCACAGTGATTGTTTGTAGGAGCACTTATTGTGTAGGCAGTAGAACTGGCCTCTTCTGAATTTACAAAAATAACTCAAAATATATTTACTGTGTGAGACTTTGGTGCTCCTTGCTAGAGCCTTTGGAACACTAACAGCCAGAGTAATAACAACTGTTTAGAAACGTGGCAAAGACACAGGGTTCTCATAATTCCAACCCTTTGAATGTCCTTGGTCTGTCACAGACCACATTTGGGGGTATTTTCCATGTTGCAGATAATGTTTCCTAGCCCCCATTGTCCTTTACATTTAATGAATACTCCCATATTTTTAAAAAAAATGCCTATTGGGTAGTTGCTACTATCAATCCAGCATAAGCACATTTTACTAAGAACTGTATACTACGCAGTTAAACCATTATTGAAAAACCGCAAACAATTCAATTACTGAAGGTTGCATAATTTGCAAATATGTAGCTGTCATAAGACATAATTTAAAAGATGAGTAGGGCAGTTAGAATTTCTTTTAAGATTGCTTTAAATAGAATTAATTCTGTTTTTGTATTCCTTTCATTTAAATGTGGTTAAAGTCCTCTAAGTTAAAAAAAAAAAGATAAAGCAAGTAACCTATTCTTTCTACTATTGGAATATTCATTTCTTTTATCTTCTGCTATTCATACCCTAATTATTATGAATATATATTTTCCATTTAGGAAACAAATGTTATACTTTTAAATAAATTTTTAATAAAGTAGTACTGTCACTTTGTATATGAATCTATTTTGATGAAAATTAATAGTTGATCTCTCTTTTGTCTGGCCTTTTATGCTTAAATTGTACTCAATATTCACACAATGAGGTTTATAGGGTCTTACTGAGGATGTGTCTCATGGCAAGGATTATGCAAATAAATTATCCCATTTAATCTCTAGACATTTTATGAGATATTTGGGTTCTAATTTCATAAATATCATATTTCAAAAATTATAATACAAGTTAGCCAGTGCTTCTAGTCACTTAGATGAAAATTGGGGCAATTATGCTAAGAACTCAAGTCTCTTGATCCTTTCCTTTATATCTCAGTTGCTTCTTTGTCAAAAATAAGTTGTTTCTGTGGGGGCCCTTGCTGCGGGCCCTGGACGCAGGCTCCGCTTCCTCACTGCACTCACACAGCTGTGGGGATGGGACCCGGGATGCTCTAGTCGCTTGTGGAATCAGGGGTGACCAGGAGGGCCCACAGAGCCCAGGGCACAGCCAGTCCTGGGTGGAGAGGGTGACCACCCAAAACCAGGGTTTTGGAAATGCTCCACCGCCAGAGGGACTCATGTGGCAAACAAAAATGCCCAGAAAGGTGAGATTGGTTACAAAACAGGTGCAAAACACCAAACACAGCGTAAACATATGCCCTCGAAATCAAAACGGGGTTTGGCTACACACGGAGAATGGAGGCTTTTGAACCCGGGGGCATGGGAGGGAGGGAGCAGGGAGTGCTCCGGCTGCGGGCTGGGTGTCTCGTAGGCCAGCAGCTGTGTGGAGGACTCAGCCTCCAGGTTTCCAGACCCTCACATTCATTTTAAGTGACACGGCGCACTGTTTCAATGCAGAGTGTACACAAATGAAAAATTTAAAATACAAGAAAAATTTTCACACATTTAATTATAGTGAATCCCATCAGGACAAATAATGAAACAAGTTGGAAAAGCTCAAGTGCTTGAATTACTGATTACTGAGTGACGCTTGCTCTTTCTACCCCATGTGTTTCCCAACTTTGTCTTGGATGTTTAGTCACCGGGTAAGTACGTGTGTTATACGACACACGGCACTGAGTGCACTGCTTCTGTTGTTTGTGAAAATATTCTCTGAACACTCAAACCAAATATTTGCACAACCCGTCCTGCGCTCCAGTTGTGAGCACGAAAACTGGGAATCTTGAAGGTTGGTTCACTTGCCCATGGGCCCGTGGGGCCAGTCGCTGTACATCACAGCGCAGTGACTTCTGCCCCGACGTTTCCCCGAGGCCTCCCTGACTCCTGAGAACGAAATAGCCGCTCAGTCTCACAGTGCCCCTTCTTCCCTCCCCCTGCAGTGCATTCACACCACCACTGATTTTCCGTTACAGGAGCAGCAGAAAAGAGCTCTAAGCACGGCGCCGAGGACAAGACGCAGACCATTATCACAGCCATGAAAGAAAGAATGAAGGTCAGGGAGAAAAACAGGCCAGAGGTGTTTGAAGTAATTCAGGAAATGTTTCAGATTCCTAAAGAAGATTTTGTGCAGTACACAAAAGCAGCCAAGCAGAGCGTATTGGATGGGACATCTAAGTGGTCTGCAAAAATAACCATTACAGGTGAAAATGGTCTTCCTTAAAGTCTTTGTTCCTTATTGACTGTGGTTATGTGTTTCAGAAATCACTGCTCATAACAGTTGTGGGCAAAAGAAATAGAACACTTTCCAGGGTTGTTAATGCGCTACCGACAAGTCTAGTTGTCACATCAAAGCCCATCCCCTAGGTAACTGCCATAGATTCAGTCTTCTGATGTACTCACCAATATCCCAAAGATGCCAAGAAATTAGCTTTGTTACTGCCCGCCATCGATGCATTCAAATGTAGCCAATCACCTCCTCCGTGAGGTTTTTTTAATGAGCAATTGGTTGAGTCACAACTCATCCGTCCATTTGATGCTTGAGCAAAGGTCACTTGAGGTCATTGGCCTTCTGAAACTGCCATAGATGAAGCCCCCACTGGCCAAGCTTCTTAACCTGCTCACGGGGATTTAGAAGGTAACGGTATTTGCATTTGGATGAGTGGATCAACACGGACAGCAAACTCATAAAACACCTTTGAATCACAGGACGTTGAACTGTGCTGGGCAACGTTCTGAGCACTGTCAGTGCCCCATCTTCTCTCTGTGTGCACAGCAGTGTGGATCTGAGCTCAAGTGCGCACGTCCTGACAGGCAGGTGTAGAGGACTTCCTCGGAGGCAGAAGCAAATCCAAGTCAGAGGAAGACACTGTAATTGTGTGAAATTCACAGATCGCGTTGTTTTTATCTTGAGCAGCAGATGCTCTGAGGTACATATGCACGTGGGATGGTGAAATCCAGCTAGTTAACAACTGCGCTCCTCATGCCACTGCTCCCGGGTGAGGGCACCAGCTCGAGAGCGCAGCGCCCCGCTAGCTGGGCACACCTTGCTGCCCAGCAGCCCCATGGAGCCCACCGCTCCTAGCTCCCTGCAGTGTGCATCGTCCCCCGACCTCTGCCATCCCAGCTCTCCCCACGCCCAGCTCTGGTAGCTGCGCTGCTGTCTGATGTATGAAATCGCCTCTCTCCAACACGTGACATTAGGCAGCCCTTTTTCTCTGTGCCTGCCTGCCTTCACTTCACATAGTGTCCTTCACAGAGTTCCAACTTGTCACCAATTGCAGGATCTCATTCTTGTTTCACGTGACAAATCAGCAAAACACTTCATTTTTTTTTTCTTTTTTGGTTGTTCTCTGGTACCGGGAACTGAACTCATGACCTTGAGCTTGCCAGGCAGGCGTTTTTTGCCACTGAGCTAAATCCCCAGCCCCTTTTTTTTTCCCCCCCCCTCCGGTACCGGGAACCGAACTCACGACCTTGCACTTGCTGGGCAGGCACTTTTGCCGCTGAGCTAAATCCCCAGCCCGAAACACTTCAATAGACATTTCTTAGAAGACACCTAACCGACCTAGGTGCATGGAAAAGTGTCCAGCACCGCGGTCGTCAGGGAAACCCAGTTTAAACCCCCAGGAGACCTCACCTCACACTTGTTCTCTTATCAAGCACTCTTAAAATCACATTGACTGTGCAAATAAAAGCAGCACTCGTACATCTGTAAACCAGGGGACAGAAGCGTTCCCCGCGATCTCTCAGGCCTGAGAATATCTTCATGCTAACATGTGCACTTCGGTTTCTTTCAGTGGTGTCCGCACAAGGTTTGCAAGCCAAGGACAAGACAGGGTCAAGCGACCCCTACGTGACCGTCCAGGTTGGAAGAAACAAAAGAAGGACAAAAACCATTTTTGGAAACTTGAATCCAGTGTGGGATGAGAAGTTTTATTTGTGAGTATATAACGTAAAGCTATTACAAACGTCAAAATATTTGAGAGTAAATTTAAGACTGGCAAGCACAGATCTCTCATGTAGAAATTACAAAGAATGAAACTAAAAGTATAAATTTACTTAATATTCTTATAACATTGGTTATTTATTCTTCACCCCTAAGCTGCTGAAGGAAAGCAATATTTCACACAAAGATAAGGTGGCACAGTGACGGTGACTTTGCGCAGGTGGGAGTGATTCACAGCATAATCTATAACTTAGGACAAGCCAACAGCTAGGAATTTACGGCCGCGACTTGGCAGGAGAAGGCTCTCCGCATCTCAGGGCCACCAGTTGGGGTGCACGGGGCTCCGCCCACCTGCACTTGCTGAGCACCTGCCCCACTTCCCCTTGCCTGTGAGGACACTGATTTTTAAACCTCTTCCGTCTGGCACCTAACAGCAAGAAGTCATTTTCCTCTTAAGAGGTCTTTTCTTTCTGTCACTCTTTCTTTTTGGAGACAATAAATAAATAAATATTTCCAAATACTGCAGGCAGAAGTGGGAACTTCGGACTGGAATTAAAGGCATCTGTTTTCTTTCCTCTTCTCTCCGCACACAGATAAATGTGAGTCTCATTAACATGCTAAGCAAACAATCCCAGAACACAGGGCCTGTGGAGAACGTGGGCTGAACGTGCAGGAAGCAGCGCTTCCGGCACGCGCTGCTGAGGAGAGGGAGCGCTGGGAGACCGGTCTGGAGTGCTGGGGCCACACCGCCGAGGTGGGCTGAGTTAAGGGAGCCGGTGGCCTCCCCTCCAGAGGGGCGGACAGGCTTCTCCTGCTGTCCTTCACCTTTAAGGGGTAGACGAGAAATCAGTCCGGCGTTGCCAATTCAGGTTCTTGCTGGAGTCAAATAAATGAATAAAGCGGGTTGCAGATGCCAGGGTGCAGGGTGGAAATGCCGCAGAGAGGGGGCGGGGGCTCCAGGACGGGAACAGGAAGGGCGCTGCGTGCACGGGCACCATGTCGCTCGCACCTCCAGGTCGCAGGAGGGGCTGGACCTGGAAAGCCTCGGAGCGGCTTTACCGACGCCCCTTGGCACGGCAAAGTCTTCACTCAGGCTTGCAGTGCACTCAGTTTTCCCAAGGGTGTACCTCTGTGGACTCAGCCGAGGTGTTTAACCCTGGGGTGTCTGTCCTGTCCAGACGCGCTGCATCCCACCAAGCCCTCCCCGGCCTCCCTCTCATCTACTCTCTGATGCTGTAGGACGGGTTACTGTTGCATCTCCTAGAACTGTCTACAGACAGAAGCAAGAGGAAGGCTGTTGTGTGCTGTGGTTCTGTTTACTCAACCTAAGTGCTCTGCGGTCCACCCAAGCTCCAGGGATAGCAACAGCTCATTTCCTTTTCTTGCTGTGTACCCTCCCAAGTGAGCGTGCCATTTTATTTTTATATACAAATATCTGAGAATTCCAGGTCTGACAGAATCTTCCCATCCTTGAGAAGGCAAACCTTTTAAATCTTAGCCTTTGTAACTGGTGTGCGGCTGGCTGTGTCTTAGGCAGGTTCTGCTTGACATTTCTCTGGTAACCAAATAAGAACTTAAGCCTCTTTTTATGTGTTTTTCTGTTATGGGTATATTTTATTTGGTTAAGTATCTATTCAGACATTCTGACTACTTTGTAACCTTTTGTATTTATATTACAGTATTAGGTTTTACTTCTAGGTGTGTGATATACCTTAGAATACTTTTTCAATGTGTAAGTTAATACACGTGAGTTCATTTCTGAATATGGATAAATAATTGTTTCTGTGCCATTTTTGGAAGTACTTTCTCTGCTAAACTGCTTTTTCATCTTGATAAAATTCAGTTCTCTATATATGTGTGGGAACATTCTTGAATTCTCTATTCTGTTCTATGAATCTATCCATTTATGATTCATGCTTTAGTATCATATAGTCCTGATCACTATAGCCTTATAAGAGTATAAAAATAAGGTAACGTTAGTCTTTCTTCCAAATTTGTTCTTCTGTTTCAAAGTTATGTTGGGATCTTCCAATGATTTCCCCATTAATTTTAGAATCAGATCATCACATTTTACGCAGTGAAAGCAGGAAACACCCGGTGGAATGTTGGGGGTTCCAGCACAATGTTGAACAGGAGCGAGCCAAGCACGGGCAGCTCAGCTCATCCTGTTGGACCCGGAGAGCAGCGTTTCTCAGCCACGATATCGGCGGGTGTTACTGTAGTTGTTACTGCCATTTATCTGGTGAGAAACCGCCTTCTGTTCCCAGTATGCAGAGTTGCGGGGAGAAGGGCATGTGCGGTTTGGTCCATCTCTGTCTGCATCCATTGCCGTGGTCATGATTTTGTGACTTAAAGGACTGAAGATCCTGCTCCGTCGTCTTTGCATTCTCTGTGAGAAGCCTGCTGTTGTCCTCATTTCTCTCCCCTGCGCATAGTACGTCTTCTCCCCAGCAGCGCTTTTAAGATTTAACTTTCCATATCACTTGTACGATTTCTTTACCGCATGACAAAGTCTAACTGCCATCGTGTTTCTGGGGCTTAGGGCTGTGAGGCTACTTGAGACTGAGTTAGCATCACCTTTCAAATTTGGAAAAATTTATTATTTCTTTAAATATGTTTTCTGCCACCCTCCTGTCTGGGGACCCGCTTACACACACACCTGGCCTCTGAAACCTGCCCCAGAGCTCATGGAGACCCTGGGTCTTTTCTTTTCTCTTCTCTATTTTTCTTCTGTTTCATTCTGGGTTGTTTCTATTGTTCTGTGTTTAAATTCATTTTTCGTCCTTACTGTCCACTGTGCTACAAATCTCAACCATTTTGTTTTGCATGTTAGATGTTCTGTTTTCTGTCTTAGGAGATTCAAATTTGGTCCTTTCCTTTTCTGCCTCTGCTTAACTTTAGTAACTGTTTGATGTAATCTACTGCCAATTTGAACACCTGTGTCCAGATTTGATGAATAACTTTTGACTGATAAACTTTAGCCCTGATTAATAAGTATTTTTCTTTACCAGGATATGTTTGTGATGCAGAGTAATCATGTTCATCTTGAGGAATTAGTACACATAACATCACATCTGAATTGTTTCAATTTTATCATTCCCCCGCTTCCCTGCGTCCCTCTCCCATCTCCACAGATTTAACTCCCTGTTCCTTACTAACTCTTTTATTTCATTCTCTATGTTATTTATAATTTGAGTCTCTCATATTGGGGAAATCATGTAATATTTAACTTTCTATGTCTGATATATTTCACTTAGTATTATGATTTCAAGATCCATCTGTTTTCCTACAAATGACCCAAATTTACGCTTTTCATGACTAAGTAGTACCCCATTTCTTTATCCATCCATCCATTAATGAGCAGATTGGTCACCATCCTGATTTAGCTCTTGTGAGCTGTGCTGCCATAAATATGGGTGTGCATGTATCATTGCGATATGATGTCTTTACCTCTTTCAGGAAGATACCCAGAAGAGGTACAGCTAGGTAAAATTTAATTTCTATTTTTAGTTTTTTGAGAACTCTCCATATGGATTTGCATAAGGGTTGTACTAATTTACATTTCCACCAAGGAATAGAAGAGTTTGATGTTTTTGAGTCCTTGATAATAGCCATTCTTACTGGAAAAATGTAAAACCTCAATGTTGTTTTGGTTCATATTTCTCTAATGACCAAAGATGCTGAAAATTTCTTTTCATGTATTTGTTAGCCATTTGTACTTCTTGATTTGAAAGGCCCATTTTTTTATTAGGTCTTTTATTTGGGTGTCTGATTTTGGAGGTTTATATATATATTCCAGATCTTATTCCTTTGGTGTGCAGAAGCTCTTTAACTTTATATAGTTCCACTTATTGATTCTTGGTATTATTTCCTGTGTAATTGGAATTCTGTTCAGAAAGACCTTGCCTATGCCTGTGTCTTTAAGCATTTTATCAAGTCTTTTCTTCCAGCAGAGTCAGTGTTTGTGATTTTATATCTAGGTCTTTGATCCATTCCAACTGAATTTTAGTGCATGTAGGTCATACCTGTTTAGAGTCAGTCTCCTGCCTGCAGACAACCAGCTTTCCCAGCATGCTTCACTGAAGAGGCTATGTTTTCTCTGGCATATATATTTGGCCTCTTTGTCAAACTGAGATGGTTGAAGGTGCTTGGCGTTGTTTCTGCATCCTCTGATCCACTGTTCAATGTATTTGTTTTGTGCCAGTGCCATGCTGGTTTTATCATTGTAGCTTTGTAGCGTAACTTGAAGTCTGGGACTGTGGTGCCTCCTGCTTTGCTCTTGCTGCTCAGGATTACTTCAGCTATTCCAGTTCTCTTCTGGTTCCACATAAATCATTTCTTCAGTTCTGTGAAAAATGCTGGTGGCATATTTTATTGGAACTGCATTAAATCTATATATCATTTTTGGTAATATGGCCACTTTGACAATATTGATTCCACCCATCCAAGAGCAGGGGTTGTCTTTCCATTTTCTAATGACCTCTTCCTTCAATCTTTTTTTTCCTGAAAATTGTAGTACAGATTATAGAAGTGTTTTGCTTCCTTTGTTAGGTTAATTCCAAGGTATTTGCTTTTCTTATGAAGCTATTGTAAATGTGATTGCTTTCTTTTTCAGTTGAGTGTATTGGTACATTTTAGAGATACATAATGATCGCATTCATCACAGGGAATTTGTGCATGTACATGATATATTTTGATTCCTGATGTATTTTTTCCCCAATCCCCTCCCCTCCCTTTGACCCTTCTTCCCCTCTCTACTTACAAAGCTTTGTTTCCACTTTATTCTTTTCTTAAATCATTTTTCCCTTCTTTCCTTTCTCCCTTCCCCCATTCTATTTCTTGTTTCCTTGTGAGCAATTTCTTCCCATTTCACAGTATCTATTATCAATATCACAATATCAATATCATTTTGGTCAATATTTATTCTTTCAATTTCTCACACCAGGGATAAAATACAACGTTTACACATGTTAAGATTTATGGTCTCAAGTTG